AACTATCAATCATGTAAAATGAATTAAAATAAATATGAGTGGTGAAGTAGCAGCACAAGGGTAACAAGTTTCACTCACGCGCAGCCAGTGTAATTGAAGCGTGTGCCAGGCAGAACGGTAGCAAGATACATGATCTACCTGGAGCCCCAGGCTAGAAGATGCTAACCCCGACTTGGCAAATGAATCAGTTGATGACCTTGGGAAATTTAATTAGCTTTAGTTTCTCTTGTCTAGAAAGGCAAACAGTAATAAAATGATACTTCTAAACTAAATCTTTAGAGTATGAGCAGGGACAGTGAGAGCAGGAAAAGACAATAAAGTAAAGCATAGAGGAGAAGGAGAGCGAGAACACACCCATGAGGAAAGCTGCAAGATTGAAAGGCGCTGAATGATTACTCAGGACCATACTAAAAACAGCATGGTGGCTTTAGGAAACGGAGCCTAAGAATCAAAGTATATTAAGACCAGCAAAGCAGGCATCATTTAACCATCAGTACATGCTTTGTTAGAGGTGGAGTTGAAGTCAGTGACCATCCCTTCTTTCAGATTTGTGCAACAAATAAAAAGGGAACATCCGCACATTCAGTGAATTCAAGAAGTATGTACCAGCCCTTGCCCCTGTGCCAGGCCCTGGGAATTTGATGGTAAACAAGACAGGCATGGCTCCTGCCTTCCCTGAACTAGCAAGAGATACAAAAGAGATTCAAGGGGCTGGGGGTTTAGCTCAGCGGCACAGCGCCTCCCTGCAAGCGCAAGGTCATGAGTTCGGTTCCCAGTACCAGGAAAAAAAAAAAAAAGAGTTTCAAAGCATAAATAAATAAAGTAATTAAAATTTCCAGGTAAATGCTATGAAGGTAGTGACAAAATGAGCCATGTAAATATCTGCAGGATATAAGAGGGAAAAGTGAGAAAGGAGGGACAGCAGGTCCAGGGGTCCTGAGACAAGACTCACCTAGCACTGTTAAGCAAAGTTTATGAGAGGCAGACTCGCCTCCTACACCCGGCCCCATCAGACCAAGCCAGAAAGGAATTATTTGCACTAAGCAACTTCAGCTGAACTCTGAAAAGGGCCAGTGTTCCTCAAACAGGAGTTTTGGAAAGCTAGACCTTTAGAAGCTGTCTAGTTTATTTTTGTTTTTGTTTTTGTTTTTTGTTTTTTTCTGGTACTGGGAATTGAACTCACGACCTTGCGCTTGCCAGGCAGGCGCTGTGCCGCTGAGCTAGATCCCCAGCCCCCGAAGCTGTCTAGTTTAGCTGAGCCAGCATGACAAAGAAATCCTTCTGCTTTAAGTCTATAGAGAACAGAGCTTCACAGCTACCCATATGCTTTTTGTTCTACTTCTTTCTTCAGCCCTTTCTGCCTAGAAAGCAGTCTCCTCTATTCAACCCGGCAGAACGTTCCTCCTATCCATTCTTTTTTGTAACATCTTTACAAATCTCTTTCATTTCTGGCCCAGAAGAAGACACATTCTTACACCAGCTTCTGCGTGATGGCAAGCGTATTTGTGCACTAGGGCTGCCGTAACAATTTATACATTCTCCCACTGCACAAGTGTTACATGATTGATTCTAGAGCCACAAATAAAAGCTACTTCAAAGTTTAAACTAAATTTGCTGTGATTTTTGTCTTTTCACAGCACATGTATAGAACAGCAAAGCCAGTCGAACAGGGAAGGAAAATTGAAAGGGAAGTTCATATAAAAGAGAGATAAAGGTAGTAGGAAGAAAGAAGAAAGAAGAAAGAAGTAGAACAAAAAGCATATGGGTAGCTGTGAAGCTCTGTTCTCTATAGACTTAAAGCAGAAGGATTTCTTTGTCATGCTGGCTCAGCTAAACTAGTAAGCAGTATCTCCCAGGCAGTGGATTTTACTCTGGAAAAAACAAGGAGTTTGTAGCTAATTGAGAAAGTTACACAGTAGATTTTGCAACTAAAATACTGATTACCCTAATTGTATCTTATTGGCCTTTACCTGGGACTCAGGATTGATTGATTCATTCATTCATTTACTTCTCGAGATGGGGGTCTCACTATGATGCTCATGCTGGTCTCAAACTCTTGGGGCTCAAGAGATCCTCCTGCCTCAGCCTCCCAAGTTGCTGGGATTATAGGCATATGCCACTATGCCCAGCTTGATCCCACCATTTTAAATGGCAAATTTTCCTTTTTATCACAAAACCACTAAGAGTGAAGGAGAGGTGGTATGAGATTGATTTATTTTGTTTTCATTTTTTTAAATATTTTTTTAATAGGTAATAGGGCTGGGGATGTAGCTCAGTGGTAGAGTCCTTGCGTAGCAGGCATAAGGCCCTGAGTTCAATCCCCAGTACCTGAAAAAGAAAAAAAAAAAGATAATTGACACTACTCAAAAGTGACTGAAAGCTGAGTATAGAATAACCCTCTCCCCTCCTCTGATCTCAGACATCCAGCTTCCTTCTCCTCTCACTAGCCTCTTGAGTGGCCTTTGAGGAGCTGGGTTTCAAAATAGTCTTCCCTCATGAATATTTATTGAAAGTCGAGTCTATGGCAGGGCTGGGCTAGATACTGGGGACCTAATAGACTAAGACATCACCTCTCCCCTTCACAGTGTCTACTGCGTAAGACACAGAAAGGTTTTAGGGGTTGATTCACATACATAAGGAAAAATTAGGCCTCAAGATAAATGAGGATAATTTTCAATTCCAAATATTTAGATTGTCTTCAATACAATTTAAAAGCTGTAAAAGGCAGGAGAGCCGAGGCATGTAAAAATGCATTTTAAAATGATTTTCTATTCCGAATAGTAAAACTCCCTAAAATAGCTTCTTCTTCTCTAGCCTAATCGCACTCAGTCAAAAGTAGTAAATTATGAGGAAATGTCTTAGGTTATTTTAGAAAATCAATGTAAAAAAAAAATGTAGTTTCAGACATGCCTTTTGAATTTTGTACCAAGTGAATCTATTACCTATTTAAAAATCTGTACATATATTGTTAAATAAGGATACAGATTTTTTAAATGAGTTGAAGGTAAGCAGAGGGGAACAGGGATCCTGCTGCCAGCGCTGGAAGAAAGGCGGCCCAGGTGTGGAAGACAGAGTCATAGAGTAGAAGGCAGGGGCTCTTGGCTTCCAATACCAGAATATCCCTGACTATTGAACTTTGAGCCACTGATTTCTTGCTTCCAAGTCTAAATTAAATCATCGGTCAGTTGAGGATGGCTTGGTCTTCCCTATCTCACCACGGGTGGGGGGGGGGGGAGCAGTGAAATGAAGGAGAGCCCTTACCTTAAATCCCTGAGGTACACCTCATCCCTGCAGGACCAACGCAAACATCCTCCTTGAAGCCTTCTAGGAAGGCTTCCCCAGCCAGGAGTTAGTAACTCTCTCCTCTGTGCTTCAAAAAAAAATGTCTCTAGCATTGTCCTTGTTTGTTTTGTCCTGCTTTTCTCAGTTTTTTCCAGAGCCAGGAAGATGGCTTAGAGTTAGAAACCCCAAAGGAGGGCCAACAATTCACAGTGAGGAATTCACTGAATACTTGTGTGGTGGAATGGCAGATAAATTACACTTCTCTTTGTCTGTATTTACATATGCTTTATACATGATTCTGCAAAGAATGTAGGGATTGTCTTTCTATTAACAAATGGTCCAGGGTTGTAAAATCATAAACAATATAAATATATCATGTTATTTTGATGAAAAAATTTTTTTTCTTTCAAAAATTTTCAATTCTGTTAAGATGTCTTTACAACAAAAGAAAATGTTTTGTTTAAACAATTCTGGAGATGTAAGGCTCCCTATAATCTCTGCGCTTTGTTTTACTTTTTAGCTAGTACGTGACTTAGCTGCTACCTGACTCTGACATGTCTTATAATGCTCAACAGATGTTTGTGAATAAGTGATCTATTTCATACTTCAAATGACGCAAGACAGACTCAAGTCTTCATAAGCTTTTCCCAGGACTGAATGGAAGTATTTAAGTAGGAGCCAGACAAGGAAAGTAAGAAACAAGAGAGGATAGGAAGGGGAAGTAAAAATGATTAAGATGCGACACATATATTTACCAATTCCTCAAGGTGAATATACCGTAATTATTATGTATCGCAAAAAATTTACTAATTTTTTTTTTAAAACAAATAGAAAAAAGACTCCTGTGTAGTTCTAGGCCGGTTCGTCTAGCTGTTCTGGAACTTTTCTTTGAGAAATAGCCAAAATGAAGGAAAGGAAGGAGAAATTTTGTATGTATGCATATACAGGATAGTTAACATAGTTGTTCTACTGTCTTCTATTTCTTTGCTGAAAGAAACTGTCAGTGAGTTCTTGATTGATCAATATTGCATGTTTCTGTTTTCATGAGAAACCATTTTGAAGATATCAATATGTAATATAACAAGCATTGTTAATTTCCCACCACTGTTTGTAACTCTGTATTGTCTGTACTGTTCTTTTGCTATTTTGCAAAAGGTTGTCTGTCTGTTATTTTCCTCCTTTTATTTTTAAAATTAAAAAAAAAGAGAAATAACCAAACTGTAAAAAAAAAAAAAAAAGTAATTAATTTTAAGAAACCATCAAGTTGTTAACGGTGGGCGATGCCGTGAAACTTGCGCTCTAGAGGTTTTCGGGGGTCCCTCCTTCGCAGCCTCCTGTGCTTTCTAAACGCCCCGGGAAGCCCAGAACTTCCACAGCGACCAGTAGCTCCTGCGGCTCCAGGAGCTCCGGGTGCGAACCCGAGGCAGGCGCCGCGGTGGTGCGCAGCCTCGCCCGGCAAGAGCACCGCGCGTCCCTCACCATCCGGTCTTTCTAACTCGCTAGGAGGAAGCGCCGCGACGCCTGGCCGCCAGCTCCGCAGCGCAGCCGTGCTTTTAGCCGCTGTCGGCTCACTAGAACCTAACTTTACCGGAACCCGGCGCCCAAGGTGCGCACGGAGCGGAGAAGAATTGCCGACGTACCACCCCGCCGTGTGGCCGGCGGAGAGGCGGAAGTCGAGGGAGCTGACACAGGTGGGGGAACTTTGTCTGGGGAGCACTTTCCTGTTCGAGACTCCGCCCCCACTGGAGGGGCTCCGCTTCGAGATTCAAGATGGAGTCGTTGAGTAGAGCTGGGCAGGAGATGAGTCTAGCGGCTCTGAAGCAACACGACCCCTACATCACCAGCATCGCAGACCTCACGGGCCAGGTCGCTCTGTACACCTTCTGCCCCAAGGCCAACCAGTGGGTGAGTGAAGCCTGCGCGCTGAGGACTCCAACGCGGCGGCCGCCGCCTCTTAAAGGGGCCACGCAGGCTGCCTGGGGTGGGGGCCGGGCAGGCGGCCAGGGCGGTGGAGACCCGCCGGGGGCCGGCCGGGAGCCCAGCCCGCGCCGGGGAGGTGTCCGAGGCCCTCGGGCTGGCGGGGGAAGAGCAAGCGAAGCAGGCGAGACGCACCTCGGGGAAGGGCCGGTGGAGGCAAGGACTGGGGCGGGATCGGCACCAGGGGATCGGGTTTGGGACGTGGGCGACCTGTCTTCTTCACGGAGCGGTCGGGGGTTGAGGCCGGTGGGGTCAGGGAGGTGCCTGAAAACCTGCGTGTGAGGCTTCGAGGGTTATTAGCCAGTGTGTACCCAATATCCGAAATAAACTCCCCTCCGCTCACCGCAGCGGTGTGAGAGCCCCCCTCGCAGAGGTCATCTGGATTGGAAGCTTGAAATCCAATTAGTTTCAGTTCTCTGGAAAGGAGCTGTAGTCCGGCTTTAATCGAACTACATTCTGTTTGCAGAGTTTTGGAAGAGATTTCAAGGCACTTAGGGAAAAGGCGTCTGTGTTAATTGGATTCCCTGTAGGCTCTTTACAGGGAACCGAGATCAGTGATGTCACCTCGGAAGGCTCACCAGACTTAAGTACTTTTTGGCTTTCGTGCACCAGAGGGAAAAGTTAGTCTGTTTACTGACTCGCTAACCCTTGCTTGAAGCGTCGGTAGTTGTTTATAGAATTTCCCGTTTTCTTGTAATTGACCTGTCGCAATTAAAACTTGTTCGGCTATAGGCTTTGCACTTAGAAAATAATCCCTAAGTGTTAGTTAGATTGAGTTGGTCAAGGATTGGCGTTCACGTTTGAGTAAGGAATGAGATCGTTAACAAAACTTCGAAAGATTATAACATATAGGTCCATAGGTCACATATTTATAGTAATGTTGTGAAAATCTTTGACACTTATGAACAGCTAATACAGATGAAGTTTTCATAATTAGCTTTCCTTCATCTGCGGGAAGAGGAGATACACGAAGCCACTAGAATAAAATTATGGATTTTTTTCAGGTATTACTGTTGTAGTGGTTATAATTTGAAGTGTGCTGAATCACTTTTCTTGTTCTGTACATAAATTTGTGAAATATGGATTGCAGACAAATGGGGCTAGGACTTATTTCTGAAAAGTTTTTTAGGGGGGTTGTTGTTTTTTGGGTTTTTTGAGACAAGGTCTCACTATGTAGTTGTGACTGGCCTTGGACTCTTTATGTAGTCCAGGCTGGCCTCAAACTCTCAGGGATCCTCCTGCCTCAGCCTCCTGAGTGCTGGGTTTATAGGCAAGCACCACCATGCCCAGCTTAAAAAGTTTTTATTTGTAATTGATTCACAAAGACTTTGAACATTTTAGAATTTTTAAACTGGGGAGTTGTGTTTTAAATATGAAGTAAATCTGGGTTGAAAAATAAGCCATTTGTTTATTCAGATCATGGCACATAGTATATAGCCAAAATCTTTTTTCTTCATTATTTTATGAGTTGTAACTTTGCACTGTTTTGGACAGATAAATTTTCTTTTACTGTGAGACAATTGATTATCAGTTTCTTATGCTAAATAACATTTTAAAGTCAAGAAAAAGCTTCTGAATCCTTAGGAAGGAAAAGCTTCATGGTATTTAAGCTAAGGCAGTACTCCTGAAAGAAATCAAGACAGTAATTTTTTTACCCTAACAATTTCAATTTGATATGACTTACAGTAAAGATTTGGTAGTTTTTGATTACATTAAAATATTAGGTCAAATCTAGGCTGTGAAGTGCAGCCTAGTTGGATTATTTATTAATTTCCCCCCCTTAAAAATTTTTTAAAAGTCTACAGTAATGACTTTAGATGAAGTATAATTTCACTCTCCATGATTCTTTCGATTCCCAGTACCAAAAAAAGAAAAATCCGTGATTCTTCAATAAAGTTCTACAAGAACAAACTGTATTTAATAGTTTTTCTTACCTAACCACAAAATTTGTGAATGCCAGATTCCCCCAGTGATGAATCAAAGTGTCTGATAACAGAATTTCCATTTTTTTTCTATTAACTTTACTAAACTTTAAAAGTGAAGAAATTGACATAAGACATTGGCTTTAAAATTTAGAAATCTAAAACATTTTAGCGTTTAAAAAGTTAAGGCTAGGCAGCTGTGATAGTACATGCCTGTAACCCCAGCATTTAGGATGCTAAGGAAGGAGGATTGCCATGAGTTTGAGGACAGCATGGGCTACCTAATGAGTTCAAGGCCAGCCTGAACTACATAGTGAAACCCTGTCTCAAAAAAAAATGGTAAAGCTAACGCTGTGATTTTCACCTTTACTAATTAGAAAAATGTTGTAGATACAGACATGTTGCTGGATTGAGTATTACATATACTTAGCATGCATCAGTAGTATTAGATAAATAAGTAAGAAACTGGTAGCAATTTGTAGAGTAAAAGACTTCATCTATTCAGAAGTGGTTAATTTTACAGGAAATAAAACATGTTGATCTTGAACATAAACCATTTCTCCTCCACTGGAACTCTTTGGTGTTGGATTATGAGAGAAAAACACTAATTGACTCATTATCTGTTATAGGAGAAGACCGATATAGAAGGGACCTTATTTGTATATCGAAGGTAAGTGTGTGTGTATGTTTTTTTCTGTGGCTAATAGTGAGGGGCTGAAGATGTAGCTCAATATTAGAGTGCTTGTCCAGCATGCTGAGGCCCTGTGTTCAGTCCTTAGCACTGCAAATAAATAAAGTCTGAGGCTAAGAAATACCATAAGAAATGGTTCGTGTGTGTTCAGATTTTGTCTTCGGAACCCTCCTCCTTGTCTCCTTCACGTTTTTATCCATCTGTAATGGTGTGGTCCTTACCTAGTTATTTCTCTTCTCGGATCCTCCCTTTGATTTAGAATAAAACCATTTCAGAAAGTGTGAAACAGAAGCTTGCCTCCGTTCTGCCATGTTAAAAAGAAAAAGTGTACCTTTGAGGAATATGTATTGACAAGTTCTATAAAGTAGTGTGGTTGAGAGGTCAGGTCCTCTCCTCTGTGCTTTTTGTCTCCTATGACTGGTTCTGCCCCTTTCCAGCCTGCCCAACCCTGGCGAAAGTCCTGGATTAGGTACAGTGTCTTTGATAATATGTATTTTTTAGTTTGGGAGGTGCTTTTTAGAAGCCTGGATTACTCATAATTGCACTTTTTTTTACTTTAAGAGAATTATTTTAAAATATAACTGGATTGCAACTTTGTGGTAAGGAAACTTAGAGAATACTATACTCGTGGGGTAGTTTTTTTCCTGAATTTCTCTAAAGGTTTTGTTCAAATAGAGGCAGGTTCTGTCCCTTGCGGTCTAGGGCTTACAGTGTCTGCAGCGGTAGTTATTACTGATGACCTGTTCTTTTTTTTATTGTTATTATTTGTATTAAGTATCTTTTAAGGTGCTAATAAAAAGATTTCATCACCTATCATGCCTTTTCAGTATAGCCCACCCTCACGCTGTAGGATGTACTTCTTTTCCTACCTGTACTTGCCTCAAACTCTGCAGAGCCTGTTTCTTCTCCTACCTTTAATAAAACTTTGCTACCATTTTTTAAAAAAAGGTGTTGTCAGATATTCTAAATTTTTACAGCTTTGAGATCTTTCCTAAACACTAACCATTTTTAGTATAAGTTCTTTGGTATTTATACACCAAGCTCTTTCTTTGATACTTTGTTTCTTGTTACTCATTTTTTCCCTTCTTTAAAAAAAAAAAAGAAAAAGAGGTCTTCACCCTCAACCCTTTCATTACTTTCATTAGCAATGTAAATGTCTAGGAACGGTGCTGGGCATATAGCTCAGTGGCACAAGTGCCTGCCTAGCAACTGCAAGGTCCTGAGTTCGATTCCCAGTACCAAAAAAAAAAAAAAAGTAACCATAAGTATCTAGGAACACTTAACTGTTAGTAGAACCTTGGTATCAGTGATGTTTGGAGAGTACTTTTGCAGGTTTTATTGTTAAAATAGAACAGACCCATGGTACAAATTGTGAGATTTAGTACAGCAGTGACTTGATTTAATCCAATTCATGGACTTATATGGCGTTGGTTCTAATGAAAGAAGAGTCAAGAAACTCTTTGGGAAATAGGAGGACCGTTTGTTTACCTGAGATAAATATCTACCAGGATATCAATATGACTTTGCATGACTCACTTAGTATAAATAAAGTGTAGGTTTGGAGTAAGAAAAAAAAAGTAGAGCTGAATTCCAGGTACATTACTTGTGTTTTCTTTGGGTACAGGCCTACATGCTAGACTCATTTCTTAGTCTGTAGACTGTTCTCTCTTATGTATGCCATGGAAAAACAAATGAGAAACTATGAAGTATTAGTATGTATAAGGCATGTTCAAAGGATTGTGTACTAAATCCCACTGATACAGGAGCTAAAGGCATTTCTTGTTACAGGAGTCAAGTGATTTTCCACCTAACTCAGGAGAACTATATAAAAACCTATGTAGTGTTAAGGAAAATGATTCATGTAATGATGAGGAGTCATTATAGCTAATTCTATAACATTTAAAATAAATGAATGACACTTCTTACAAATATCTATACTGTGTGTCTGGGATGCATTTGTGGGAAAAAATAAGACAAAAATCCCATTTGTGTGGATCTTGTACTCTAGTTTGGAAGAATGGCAGTCAGTATAAAAAAAGTAAGTGGTGTGGATAAAAAGAGAAAGATTCACATCATTGTGGTTGGGAACATTAAAAAGGACAGTTCAGGTGCGCAGTGAGAAGGTGACATTTGAGCACATGCTTGCCGAGCTGAGATGACTGTATGGATGCAGAGGCAGTGTTCCAGGCACAGGTCTTCAGGTGTAAACACACCAGCACAGAGAGTGGCAAGCAGCCCAGAGTCAGCGGAGCGGAGGAAGCAAGGAGAGAAACCTAGGGGATGAGCTGGGGTGTGGGATGGGGGCGTCCATCGTGGGCCCTGATAAGGACTTTGGCCTTTACACTGAGAAACTGAGTCCTTGATAACATCTGAGCAGAGGAGGGCTGTGATCTGACCTAAATTTTTTGTTTATTGTTTTAAGTGCTGATAATATTCTATCGTCCCTGATGTATTCTTTCTTTTTTGAGATGAAAATAAAGTATATAACTTTGTTGTAGATTATAAGGTAATTTGGATTTTTCTTCTACTAAATTTAAGGTCAGCTTCACCTTACCATGGTTTTACCATTGTAAATCGACTGAATATGCACAATCTAGTTGAACCAGTGAATAAAGACTTGGAATTTCAGCTCCATGAACCATTTCTTCTGTATAGAAATGCAAGCTGTGAGTATGTCTGTTTACATTTAATATTAAATGGCTTTGTTTTTGCACATCATTTTTCCAGTTTCAAATTATAATATGAAATGTGGCCTATCCTGTTTTTTAGAATTATAAATGCGTCTCTTGATATCAAACTTACTACTCTTGTGTATAACAAAGTACTGTTACTTTAGTTAACTATACAATCCAGTTTATTAGCATTATATTTGTTTGTTTCATGAAAATAAGTTTCACTCCTTATTTTAGCACTGATGTGAGGAGCACTGAACTCTTGGCTGCCCATGCCCCTGCCAACAGAACTTAGTTTGGGAGAAACAGGTGGAAGCAAATACTGATACTTCTTTCCAGAGAGAAAGTACTGTCTTTGCCCTGGATAGTGATATTTTTTGATGGTTTGTTTAATTGAATGACTACTGAGTACCTGTGCTATTCCCAAAGCTACTATGCTCTAATGTCAGAGATGCGTAATGGGAGGAGGGTGTTGTCATTGTATTAATGGTGACTCAGAGATAGATGGGCACTCAGTTGGAGAATGAGGGTTGTAAATCTTTTCCTGCTTCTTACTTCAGGGTCTTTTCTGGCATTTTACAGGCGCTAATAATGATTAATGCAGTTGTCAAAACTAGAACAGCCCTTTTAAAGAAAGTACAGTACAAATGTTCCTCAGCCTACAGTGGTTACTTCTTGAGAAGCCCCATGCACGTTATAAAAGCACTTCACACACCACCAAATATTGTAGCTTAACAACACAGTACACTATAGACTCTCAGTAGTTTCCCCTTGTGATCACATGTCTCACTGGGATCTGTGACTAGGTGCTTCACCCAGGATCACAGGAAAGTGTCATACCACATACCACTAGCCTGCAAAAAAATTCAGGACAATTTTTAATGAATGCACATCACTTCTACACCTTTGCAAAGTCAAAACATCTAGGTGGAATTGTATTAAATAGGGGATCATCTGTACAGAAAAGTATACTGGGTTCTTATATTTCAGTATGGGTATTAAAAATATAGGTGATTAAAGGCAGAAGGCAATCAGTTTGTTTTGGCATTAACTTTCAGGATATCAGAATCCATTACAGTGGCAGAGAGATTATGCTCACCTAAGGATATTGTTGGAAAAATTTGTTTCTAACTTAAAAGGTAAAAGTTACCGTGTTTACATTTCATTTGGTTGAGAAGTAATTAGTATTGGAGCATGTCTTCAGTGTAAAATATAAAAAGATGGCAGGTGTAGTGGCACATGGCTGTAATGCAAACTACATAGGAAGCTGAGGCCAGAGATTGCAAGTTCAAGGCCAGCCTGGGAAATTTAATTTAATTTAATTTTTATTTTATTTTGTCTTTTTGAGACAGGGTCTCACTATGCAGTTCAGGCTGGCCTTGAGCTCACTTTGTAGCCCAGGCTGGTCTCAAACTCACAATGATCCTCCTGCCTCAGCCTCCCGAGTGCTGGGATTATAGGCATGCGCCACCACACTTAGCTTTTAATTTAATTTAATTTAATTTAATGTAATGTAAAATTCAAAAACAAACTAAGGATACAGCTCAATGTTTGCCTAGCATGCAAAAGGCCCTATATTCAGTCCCTAGTACTGCCAAGCTATACGTGTGTGTGTGTGTGCATGTGTGAAGCTACTAATTTTTATATGTTTCGTAATTTCCTGAATGAGAAGAGCCCAAATTCTTCCTCACCTATGTTTTAAGTAAGGAAATAGGAACTATCTCTTTTCAGTAAGCTATTTGTCAAATAATTACCTCTCCAATTTTAAATTCTGTAGATATATTGCATATGTTTTTAATACTTGTAAGTTTAGATGGTATTTATTTAAACTAAACTAATGTTAGCAGCAGAATTATTTCAGATGGCTGTTTTCTTTGTGCTGAACATTCCACTAGGGTGAAATTCTGCAAAGGAACACAGATTTAATTTTTTTTTTTTGGTTTTTCTCCGGTACCAGGAACAGATTTAATTTTTTTAAAAAGAGAAATTGGCTTAATTCTGTGTCTTACTACCTAGAAACTTAAATCTAGCCATTGCTCCTAATAGTCAGTGGGGATAATGATCAAAGACCACAGACCTACCATTTAGCAAAAGCCTGAAGTAAACTATATTCCTTTTACAAGTAAAGACCCTGTGAAATTGAAGTATGATGTGTAATTGTACCCTGATTAGCCAGAGCCTAACTTTCTAGGGCTTCCAGTATCTGGGAATATTCCTGTAGTCCATGTGTAGAACAAATGAGAACAAATTGTAAGAAAACAAATACTAGGTTTTATTTTGTGAATAATCTATATATAGCTAAACTGTAACCTGGGAACAACATGAAAATGTCAATATCCTTTAATTTTAACCCATTATAGTATCATACTTTGTTACAATGAGATGTTGTCATTTCAAGTATTTATTATGTTAATTAGAATATTCTTCCAGTGAAAAGTGAACTAACACATTTTCTTTTAGAAAGATTTTCAGGGGCTGGGGTTTTAGCACAGCGGCACAGCACCTGCCTGGCAAGTGCAAGGTCATGAGTTCGATTCCCGGTACCGGAAAAAAAAAATGTGATTTTCAACAAGTGGTAGAAACAAAGGTTTCCTTTGTTGAACAGAAAACTCACTATCCCAGATCATTCATTGGGGAAAATATTTGAAGTAGTAGCTGTGTTGGGGAGAAGTGAAAACTGCAAACAGTGATTTGGGGAGTGTTGAGGCCTCTCTTGAGTATGTGTTTTGTCTGCTTTGTCTTAAAAGTAGAAAATAGTCTTGTTGGGTCACCAAGCTTATGAGTTGTTTAGGGATTTGTTCTTTGAATAAAAAGTTAGTTACTGTCTGATTATATATATGGGTAATTATACCTGATTCTATAGCTATTCTTTTGTCATTTTCCTGTGAGAAATATCACCAAGACACCTGACCCATTTAACTCAAATTATACCTTCATATCTAGTTTCTTGTGTTCAAATCAAGTTTTAGATTTAATGTAATAGAACACTGAACTGTAACTTAATTCTTCTATTTTTTATTTTTAATTTCTTTTTATTCATATAAAGTACCCACCTACTTGCTCTACTCCTAAGAAAAAGGTAAACATCTTACAGAGAAAATAATTTCATTAATCACAGGTTTAAGTTTGGTAATTCTCTAAAATCTTTCAGAAATACTGTGTATTCGTTCTGTACAAGGACCTTTCAGCAACCTGAAAAGTCTTCAAATAGGGCTTCAGTGAAGAATGGGGAGGTTGCAGATTGTGTAGTTATTGAACAGTGATGATGTTCCATCACCTTATCTCTGGTTTCCAACTCATAGAGTAAGAAACAAGAGACCCAGAGACATGGAAACTTGCTTAAGAGTCATAAAGGCAGTAAGTGAGAGATACCGAATTAAAATCTAGGACTGTCAGTCTTCAAAGACAGTATTCCTTCCATGTACTGCAACAATAAAATTCTTTAATTCACCAATCCATATTCTAGAGCAGTGCTGTTGGGTAGAACTCCGTAATGATAGAAAAGTTCTGTATCAGTACTGTCCATTGTGATAACCATCAGCTACAAGAAATGTGGCTTCTGGTGTAAGTGAAAAATAATACTTTTTTAGGTTAGTTACTTTATTTGAATTTGTGTAGCCGTATGCTCTAGCAGCTATCATATCAGACAATGGAAGTCTAAAGCATGAATCTCTTTAACACATGCTTTGTTGTGCCTTGTCTGAATGGAACAACAATTGGGAAGCTATGTGTTAGATTTTTATGTCTCTCATTTAGTCATTCCTTTTTGAAACTTATAAATGATTTCTAGATAGAAAAGCTGCAGAAAGTATATCTGAGGATGATAACACTTTTTTGGCATGGAATTTGGTTTGTAGACTCATACTCTGTTCTAGGCTTTGCCACTTTTCTATTCTTGTATAAATTAAACTCTTCTCTGACCTGCTTATCTCAGAAGGGAATCATGAATATAAGGTATTTTGTCAGTCAGATACCTGATCAACTATCATAGTCTGTGTCCCTCTCCTAGACTGAAGCCAAATCTTATTAGTGAAACAATCATATGTATTTCAGTAACACAACACAGGTTCTTTTATAGTGCAGGTGCTCTATAGTGTACTTTTTCCTGTTCCTTCTGACTACTGTAGTCCCATAAAGGCAGAGGAGGGGCTGGGGATTTAGTTCAGCGGTATAGCACCTGCCTGGCAAGTGCAAGGTCAAGAGTTCAGTTCCTGGTACCAGAAAAAAAAACCTAAAAACAAACAAACAAACAAAAAGGCAGAGGACTGTGTGTGTGTGTGTTCTTTTGTAATGCAATGCTAGAGAGATCAAACCTAAAGCCTCACACAACCATTAATACAAATCTAGGCAGGTGCTCTACCACTTAGCTACATCCTCAACCTTCTAAACTTGTTTTGTTTTTATTCTTATTTTTTAGCAGTACATGTTTGCAGTACGTAATAATGGCATTCCTCATGGGGAGTTGGCACATTGTGTAACACATCCTAGTTCTTTTTTATACCCTCCCCTTCTTCCCTTCTCCCTCCGTCTCTTGGTCCGCTCCCATTTGCAAGAGATCTTATCTACCTCTTTATTTCCTATTATCTATCTCTTATGTTGCTCTTTGTGTTTTAGTTTCTCATGTAAGAAACCATGCGATATTTCAGCTTGTGTGTCTCATTTATCCCACTTAACATATGGTCTCAATTTGCATCCATTTTCCTATAAATGACTCAAGTTTAGCCTTCTTTGTGCCAGAGTCGTACTCTGTTATGTATAAATACCACATTTTCTTTATCCAGTCATCTGTTTTTTTATTATGAAGATAATTTTTTAAAAAACAATAAAATCACAACAACATAGACAAAACAAAACGAAGCAAAAACGATAAAAATCCAGTCATCAATTGATGGACATATAGGCCACTATTATGAATTGTGCTAGCCCCCTGAACTTTAAAATAAAAATAAATCTGGGCAGCTAGGCATCGTGGGACTCACCTGTCATCCCAGGCA